ACGCGGGAGAGGACTTGATCATGGTCGAGGGCGCTTCTGATCGGACAGATGTGGCGCTCCATGTCCGTAGGGATGCCCAGATCATGCACCTCCATGTCAGAACCTGATTCGGCCTCCTCCTTAGAATCATAATCGGCGGGGCGCTCATTCAAGGGGACTGCGTCAATAACATCTACTGCCCCGTCAGCATTTCCATCCCCGGCATCGCTCCCACTACCTTGGGAAGCGTCATCCGGCTCACCATCAGCCCGGATGGTCCTTACCGTCGTGGCTGAACCAGAAGTCCCAGAAACACTGGCCTTTCCCGGGGAGCGCGCATTCACATTGTCAGAAGAGGAGTCCGAAGAGGAACCCGACGAACCGGAATCAGAACTTGACGAAATCTCCATCGAAGACATTTCGGCTAGGAGTCAGAACAAAGAAAAGAAGCAGAGGAGGGAAATTACCTTACAAAGAGACAAGTTGAACTCAGAAGCCAAGCAGAGAACTCGAAGAACAGCGGAGATTTTAAGGCAAGGGAGCAGAAATTGGGAACCCTAGTTCAGGGGGAAAACCCGGCATTTATAGGGGGAGCACCGGTTAAGGGGCCAACGAGGGGTTGACACGTAGCAAGGAGCGTGGTCCGGCTCACGCGCCGTGCGTGGGATGGAAGCGTAATGATGACACTTCCTCGGGAAAATGCACCGCCGCTACAGCAGCCGTCACCTCGTTTCCTGAACCGTCGACAGCTGTCAAGCACCATGACCACGAGCGTACGCTTCCACCGGATGCAGTAAACACAAGTATCAAGACACGAACGTCTACTTCGAGGGAGTTCATACTTCCTTATGTCCTGCGCATGCTCAGAACATCAGAAGTGGGGGACTTGTGTTGGGTTAAGGGCCCAAGCCGAGGTCCGGCCCACTAACCCCATCTTACCAGACGCACGTCCAGTTAGAACACAAGGCCAGCCCACGGGCCCATGTTCCTTGAGGATGGACGAACGTCTGGGGTTGGGAGTTCAGGCCCAGCGGCTCATCCCGACGAACGTCTATGCAGGGACAAGGAGCAGGGCCACGGGCCACCAGGGATGACGACGAACGTCCCCATGGCAAGCCTATAGTCATCGGAGGAAACCCAGTCCACATGGTGAGTATCTATCAAGGCCAGGAGACGAACAGCCGAAGCCTCTCGAGGGGAACTTGGGGCAACCCAGCTCGCTTCCCGGACGGACGAACGTCCCCACTATTTAGGCGGGAAACCTAGATTCTGGCGGGAAGTGCATTTAATGCTGAAGATTCGGTGGTTGGGACACCAGCGGTCCACAGGCCTCCACGTCAGCATAGCCACCTGCCCATTGGCGGGTATAAATAGAAGCATTTATTTCATTGTAAAGGGTTGGCAACTTTCTATTCTTAGCATCCTAGCTTTAGCACTCTTACTTGCAGCATTCCTACTGCCTTGTAAGACGAACGGCCGACGTGCCTTTTTAGCAAGTAGATTGTATTTAGGGGAGTTATTACGAAGTTAATAATACCTATTTACATTGCCTGCTATTTCCTCTGTTTTCCTGATCCATCTGATAGTTGTTGGGCTAGATATTCATACACTCACTCCACTCGAAATCTTTGGGCTTACGTGTTGGGTCTGAAGGTTGAAGGAATAAACCTCAACACTTATTTTACCTTACTCAGCCTTCCCCTTGTCTACTCACTAACAGAAGGTTGTTATATAGGTCAAGACTTCCGCTGCGATCCTTAATCTCCCAAAAGATTACTGATCATCATATCTATGAGGAAAATTCTTTAAAAGTTGAAAAGGCTTTAAAAGTCTATTCACCCCCCCCCCCCCTCTAGACTTTTACCTCTATCTGGGTCCATCACACATCTTATTTTTGCTGATTACTTGATGTTATTTGCTAGAGGTGACTTGGCGTCTGTTAAGATTTTGTTAAACTGCATGGAAGAGTTTAGAGAGGTTTCTGGACTTGGTGTAAGTTTGGCCAAGTCTGAAGTATTCATTGTAGGGGTCTATGGACTTGAAAAGGAGGAAATTACTCTATCCACTGGTTTCAAAGAAGGTACCTTCCCGGTAAGGTACCTAGGTATTCCCTTAGCTCCTTTAAGGGTCTCAGTTGCTAAATTCGCCCCTCTTATTGAAAGAATCGAAGGATACGTGACAAAATGGAAGTCTAAAACAATGTCGTATGCAGGGAGAATTGAACTTATTAGGGCAGTTATCCAGGGAGTATATTCTTACTGGTTGCAATCCTTCTCTATGCCCGCCACTGTCATCAATAGAATTATTACTACGTGTAGGAAGTTCTTGTGGGATGGAAAAAGAGCTAAAGTAGCTTGGTGTGATATTTGTAAGCCGAAGGAAGAAGGGGGCTTGGGACTGAAGGATCCTAAAATCTGGAATGATGCTTTATTAGCAAAGACTCTATGGAATATACACTCTAAGAAGGATGCTCTCTGGATTAAATGGTTTCAGGGGGTATATTTGAACACTCTTTCGATCTGGGAGTGGGTTCCCAAAAAGGGGGCCTCACCTTTGCTTAAGCAACTAGCCAGAATCAGAGATAGTTTGTGATGGTCCCGGATAGAGGTAAAAGTCTAGAGGGGGGGGGGGGGTGAATAGACTTTTAAATCTTTTTCAACTTTGTGAAATTTTCCCTCTAGATGAGTTGATCTATAATCTTTTAAGAGATTAATAGATGCACAGCGGAAGTTTTTAACCTCTTGATACTTGGTGTGAGACAACTTTCTAGTTTAGATGATGTTTAGACTGGTGACAAGAGGAAGTAGGCTTGGCAGTAGACTGGTGAGCAGATAACTGCTTAGTCTACTGCTGCACAGGCAGTTTGCTGACTGGCAGGCAACTGCTGAGTTAGCAGTCGACTGGTGGGCAGGTTGCTGCTGAGGCAACTGTTAAGAACAGGATGACTCTTGAATGGCTTTTTGTTCTGGCTTGTTATGGCATTCGGAAAGACACATATAAATGGGCAGTGGGCTCAGCAGGAGGGTGAAGTCCAGGGTACTGCTGAGGCACCTTCTGAGTGAAAGATAGCTTCTAGTGGAAAACACTCTCAAGGAGAGTGAGTTATTAAGCAGTAGGCTGAGCAGTACAGTCGATGAAGACTACTGCTTAGGATGCTGCTGGCAAACTACAATCCTTTAGTGAGATGTGTTTGGTGTGTGCTTCTGTATGTATGAAAGTAAATCGACACACGATGTATCCTGGTTCAGAGGTGGTGTAATCCTCCTACATCCAGTCCCACCCTATTTCAGATGGATTTCCACTAAAGTATTCAGCCCAATACAATTAGTGCCAATCTAGCCTTGACAACTCTGGCCTAGATTGAAGGTTTTTCACGATGAGTATAACACCACTCAAAGTTACTCAGTCCTTAGACTTTTCTCAATTGATCCAGTGGGGATCAAAAGGTACTCTATCTATCTAACCACACTTTAGGATCCGAACAACTGTTCTCCTAAGTGTTTACAACAACTTGTTTTGATTCACGAAGTGTCTAACCGCCAACTAAAACCTAAGCTCTATAAATGTTACAATGAATGATCTAGTCTAAGAGCTTAGTGAAGCATGAGTCAAAGCAGAGTGTTCAAGCACTTTTTCTTTTGCTGGATATGCGTAGTGTAATGACTGAACCACTTGCTTTGAACTCAATGACTTGCCTTTGATCTCATGCTTCTGCCTATTTTTATAGGCATCTCCAGTAGATTAATCTCCTCCGTTGGTTAAGAGGATTTAATCCTAGACGTCCAAAGTATTGTACTTGCGTCTTCTTGTGTTGGAGCAGGATAAGGATTTGTCTTTTGAAGACCACTTGCTTTGTACGAAGATAACACCCATACCTTAGGCCTTCTTATCGCTGCATGCCTATTCTGAAACTCTTCACTATTCACTTAATCAGATGTCTTCTCTCCTCTTGCGTTCTGAGTGTTTTGGCCTTGTCTTGCAACTACACTTGTAAAGCTGAGTGCGTGAACCTGCTCAATTTTGTGTAGTGAAGTAGTAAAATGTGTGACTTAGAATATTTTGTATCAAATAAGTTTTGTACTGGTAGGATCTTTGAAATATCCTATTAAGGTAATAAGATTACCTTATTGCATTTTGTTCTTTCCAGTACAATTTATTTGTTACAAATTTCACAGTAAAATTTGTCACTTATTTTACTAATCACTTTCTTTCTTTAAGTGACATGATTAAACTCATGTACCAAATTAAAGCTATACTGGTTGGATCTAAATATCCACGTAAGGTAAATAATTTTTACCTTTTTGCATTTTATAGTTCCAGTATGTTTAATCTGATACATAGTTTGTACATTGGAATTCTTGTCACTTTTAAGTACTTGTGTAGTTTAGCAGGTATTGTGTACAACTTAACTGGTAGGATAACAAATCCTATTAAGGTAAAAGTTATTACCTTATTGCATTTTGTGTTCCAGGTAGTTGTTCACTATTCTTGTTCACTTTGATTTATCTATATATCAAATAACACTTTACTGGTTGGATTTAAATATCCAATTTTAAGATAAAGACAACTTTACCTTATTTTATTTTGAATCCCAGTGTGTTCTTTTTGTTATATAGATTTTACATTGTTATTTGTTGTAGTGAATAGAATATCAAGAACTCTTCCTCTGAGTGTATGGTTTATCTAGTATTTCGAACATGATAAGCTAAATATTTAACTGGTAGGATATCAACTCCTATTAAGGTAAAATTACCTTATTGCATTTTGTTTTCCAGTTAAAATAGATAGTTTATTTGTGCGAGATGTTATTGTGTGTAACAAATAAATTTAACTGGTTGGATTTATACAATATCCTTTTGAGGCAATACAATATTGCCTTATTGCATTTTATGGTTTTCCAGTTATATTTATTTGTTAACCGTCCTAAAAGGAGCACGACTCCTATAACTTTCTTAGTACTAGACAACTGCAAGATGTTACAAAAGAGGATAACCAAGACTCCTATAATACTACAATAGAGAGGGGATAACAAAAGCTTTTGGCATCATCAAAAACAGTTCATCAAAATCTGGGGTCTAACAGTTTGCTTGAAAAGTTTGGTGATAAGCAGAAACTGCTAGATCACCTGGGAGCACTATGTGTTAATGGGAAAATTAATCCATCTGGGATTTATGATCTACTCAGAGTAAGAGGTGTCTCCAGGCCTTGGATGAAGTTCATTTGGAAGAGCTACGTACCCCTTAGGTTCTCTTTTACCCTTTGGCTTTGTTTCAGAAACAAATTGGCCACTGCTGATAACTTGTACTACCTGGGAGGGGATAAGATATGCTCAATGTGCTCTGGACAGCTAGAGACATGCGATCACCTCTTTTTCAAATGTCCGGTGACGGGTGGTATTTGGAAAACTATTTGCATATGGCTGGGAGTTAGACGTCCGGCGACTTCTCTGAACGTGTGGTGATGATTTTTAGAAAAGACTATAGAGGGGCACGACTGATGAGTAAAGCCGTTAGAATTGCTTTGAGCTGCACGGTATACACAATCTGGAAAGCAAGGAACCAGGGGTTATTTGCAGATACCATTACTACACCGCTTGAAGTGATCAAACAAATTAACATCGACTGCTATAAAATTTTGTATAAACTTTATCCCAAGGAAATGGTGATTTTTTGACATAGTATCCGGGGAATGATTTTTGGGTATTCTGCGGTTGGTCTTTTGCTCCTGCTTTTTATTTGTCTGTTTGGGTGGGGTTTTTAAATCTTAGCTTGACTTTTTAAATGAGTGTTTTGCTGGGTGAAGCTTCTTTGAGAGTATTAACTTGTGCTGGTGTGTTTGCTGATCCGGGGTTGAATAAGCATATTGAAGTGCTTGTTTTTGTGGCTTTGTAGTCTAGTATTGACAGAATTTGATTGAATTGGTCTGATGTAAAACTGGGGTATGCCCCCCCTTTTAATGTGTAACCTGTTCATATAGCTATAAATTTACGGTTTATCCCAAAAAAAAAAGTGGAGGACAAAAAAAGTAACAAGCCCATAGAACAAACGAATATCACTCACATAATGTGTGGGGGGGCCGAGAAAGACTAAATTTGTTTTTAGTGAGAGAATGATTTTTAATGTACATTATGTTGTGTTTTATTTTTCATATGTATTACAAATAATTCAAGAGGCACTTGGGAACAAGGGAGGGGGGAGCTACTATTTGTTTTGGGGTGTTTATGTAACTATATTGGCAACAATGCCTTCAAGTCAGAGCTGTAATAATGAATAAATGATCCGCTCCCATTTGAGCACAATTTTATCTACCCCAAAGTTCCAATTGGTTTTACGCTTTTACCTTTAGGGGTTTCTTATTTATTATTTACTTTTTTTACATTATAGATACTGGGAAATCATTCCTTCACTGGCAGCAGCTCCATGACAGACTGACAGTTATGGCAATGCTATTCAGTCATTTATTATTGGCTCTTTGCTCCATGAACTCCGACAACGGTAAGGTGTAGGAGGTGGGACCATGGGGTGTTAATTTGACATATAATTATTTAGCATGTGGCATACTATTGATTTAGGTTAATGTCTTGTTTAATTAATTAGTGGTCTTCCTTAACTATTAGGTGCCATGGAAAGAGAGGACATGAAAATTTAGGCCAAGTGTTGGTCACGTCTACATTCTACAATAAATATCTCATGATGGAAGATGCTTTTGGACGTGGTTGGTGCAAATGAATCATATTTGGGAAATCATTTTAACTTCCCTTTGACGTATTTCAAACAGAGAATGCCGTTTTCTTTTCTCATTCCATAAAGGCAAATGAATTGACCATAAAAAATACTCCGTAAATAGGGAACAAGAAGTCAAATGCACCAAATTTTGATGGGGTTCGAAGACTTTGAAGTTTGAACTAGACTCAAATTTTGCAAGTGCACGGTGTTAACTGTTAAGACTTACGAAGATAAATTAAATGTTTAAACATTTAAGATGATGTATCTAACATTCTAACCTTTCATTTGCTATTTGAATAATGCAATATGCCATTTTTTACCAGTCATTCTAAATCAACCCAAGATCTCCAGTTTTCATTTTTTATACAAAAGTATACCACATTTGCATATTTTACATTAATTATAAGATCATTTACAACGAACATATAACATTTATATCAATCAATAACACAACACTTACACATTTATTACATGATTTACAACACTTGATATCATTAACACCAAATCTAAATTGTTTATAGTAACAACACAATAGTATAATCACATATTTTCACACGTATTTACATCATATATATAAAAACATATTATCTACATCACACTGGATGTACATATTATCTTAACAAAAACACATATTTTCACATAGAATTTACATCACATTGAATGTAACATCATTTACACGAAATATTTTTACTTAATATAATGTGAAAGTTATACACACACACATAATGTTGGTGAAAACACTTCTTCCCATAAGAAATGAGAATGATCCAAAATGATGCACATTATTGTTCAAGGTCGTCCACATTTATGGTCAAAATAATGCAAAGTTCGAATGTGCACATTTGTGGTTAAAATAATGCACAGTTCAAATGCACATTTTCTAATTTATAATTTATGATGGTGCACATTTCTGTTTTACATAATGCACGATATCCAAACTCAACAGTCCAAAATCATTTTCATTTATGATTTATCTTCTTAGATCATGTTCTCATTTGATTCTAGCTATATGCATATAATATACTACGTATAATATATATATATATATATATATATATATATATATATATATATATATATAGATTTATGATCATGTGAGAACTTAATCTTATGAGAGTAAAAAAGAATTGATGTAGACCATTGGATCATCTAATAATTCCTCCGTGCTTCTAATCTATCGAGAGGGTTTTTAGTCATTTTGTATATGTATTGATTACGCTTAAAGATAAGTTCTGAAATGTTAGGCACTACTTTACTTGTTTATTGTACGTTCCACTAACTTCCTTTTGAGTATTTGTGTATTTATTATTGCTTTGTCATAGTTTATATTTTATAGCCTTCAATTTTCTACGTGTGACTTTTAGATGAGTTTCTTTTCAATTTAAGTGCTAGCATTTTTTTTAACAAATTTTATATTTCTGTGTGCTCTTTAATCATCATATTCTCTCTTATTTATTTTCAATTTTCACACTACATTATCCGAATAAATATTATTTTTTAATTTAGTATATAATTGTGCACTTTTAATTTGTCCATTACGATTTTTACATCTTTAAGATGCTTATAAATTTGCATGATGACAACATATAGCATATTTTCAATTTGGTCATTTGGGGAAGTTTGATCTTCAACAAAAGGGTTGTTATGTGTTGTATGATACTGCACTCTAATATATTTTATATGCACATTTTAAAAATGCATTTCGTTTTGATGCACTTATCATACTTTGTTCATGCACTTTTCATTATTTTTTTCAGACACACGTGACATCAGGAGACATCATTATAATGGAATTACCAATTTACCATGGAGCTTTTGGAAGAAAAGAGCATTATATTTGATTTTGTAAAAGAATCATTGTAAATTAAAGTTTTAGAAAGTGTGAAATATAACAGTGCACTTGTTTATGTAGTTACAATGCACATTATAAAAGTGCATTTTATTTTGTAAAAAAGTGCATTTTGTTTTGTAAAAAAGTGCCAACGTATAAACTTCAAAAGTGTAATAATATAATGCACTTTTGTATTTACTTAAAATGCACATTTAGATTACAATAAGTGCACTTCTACACCTAATATGTGTAAACATTTAACTGAATTGATGTTATATACAGTTTCGAATAAAAGTGCATCCTTTCAATGTTGGAATGCAATAAATAAATCATTTTGACTCATTGATGAATATTACATTTGAAAAGAAAAAATGATTAATAAAAAAATTAATGCACGAATTACAAAAGAAAGCTTTGTTCAAAATAATTATCTTAATTATATGCTAGAATATCCTAAATTTGGAAATAAAATAAAGTAAGAGAGTTTTTTTTACAAAAAATGATGCTAATTATGGAAGAAGTTATTACGTATGAATTGCTATCCACTTTTTTAGAAGGATTTCCTATTATGATGCATCATGCGTGATATCCATCATGAAAAATTTTACCATGATGCCCTTAATATAAGTATATAGTTGCACGTTAAATTTTTAAAACTCCAATCCCCTCCGAAAATTACTCTATTTCAGAATCCATCTAAGCCATCAGATTAGAGTTATTAAAGGTTAGTCAATGGTTGGATTTTAATCTTTTTCCCTCTCCTAAGAGGGTGTTCTCACAGGAACTAACCCTTATATATATATATATATATATATATATATATATATATATATATATATATAATTTGAAAATACATATTCCGAAACAACGAAGAACTTCTATTGAATCGCAACAAATGGTTACGTAGAACCTTTTAGGTGGAGGATTGGAGCAAAGGAGTCCAATTCAACAGTAAAGCTAAAAGCTTGTGCGCCTGTCTTGACAGTCCAGTCCATTACTCTAGCAATAGCCTCCAATTCCACTTGCCAAACTGAAGAAGAGCCAGTGATGGAAGCTTTGGACACCCATGGAGGAATGTTTTCCAGAAGCGAAGAGAAATGGTGGTGCTGCTGAAGAATTGTCACCATTGCTTATGCTGAGAGCTGTGCAGATGGAGAAGTGAGGAGAAGAAAGCCAGAGAATTAAGAGTGTATATGCTACATCTAGAGCCTGTTTGGTAGAACGAAAATCGGCTGATTTGGCTGATTCTGCTGAAATTTATGAAGTTCTGACTGAAGTGACTACATTGGCTGATTCTGCTGATTTAAGAAAAAAATATTTTTAAAATATATTTTATTAATTAAATAAAGAAAAATTTATATGTAAAAATAGTTAAAATGATCATCTACAGTAACTTCAGCCAAAACAGCCAGAAAGGTAGCTCCAACCTTACTTTTTCTGCTTACTAGTTTTGTACCCGGGCGTTGCCCCGGGTGCAAGTGTGCTACTCCTATATGGAATATTTAGTTAATAATTCTTTGCATATGTGAGATATATCTTTCGTATATATGAATTTTTTAAATCTCATTGACAAAAGCATTGAAATATGTATTAATTTGATATACGGAGTAATATTATACTTCATATAAAGTTGAGATTCATAAGATATTAGATTAACTAAATGGCATAAAAAAATTGAAAGGCTATGTTTCTAAATTCTGGTAAACCTCTCTATAGACAACATTTATGACATTGGAGGAAAGTCACTAATCTTTAGAACGAATCAAAATCTTCAATCCTTCTTTGCTATTGATTCTATATGGCAACATATAATTGACCATGAGTGAATACATTTTTCTCGAGATATAGTCTGACCTGAGATATATACTGACATTGGCTCTTGTTGATGCTCATCACAAAGCTCTACCAGCGTTGTTGGTCTTGTCAACTCTTCCCACAAGTGAGATAAATGCAACATCATATTATACCACCTAACATTTTTAGAAATGTTTTAGAATCGACGTGTATTCCGTCGAATAGACCACGTACGACATCTCGAGGAATTTGTAGAAGTGGCCATTCGACTTTCTCTCGCACAGTACTCGTGCATACGCACGAGAAAAAACAGTTGATGCATATATATTTTTATTCACGATGTGATTAAATATAAAAATAATTTTGTTTACAATTTTACATCATTTAAAAAATGGAGTACAATAAGTGAATATAAAAAACTATAAATACACACAATAAATATTTGAAGTGAAAGAAAACTAAAGTAAAAAAACAAATCGACACCATCTATTAGAATTTTTACGTAATAATAATTACTCCGTATTATTGTTGGTATCGGATTATGAAATATTAAATTTAATTGTTAGAGTTTTGAAAAAGCATTTTAAAGAGAACTTTTAATGATAATGTCTAATGATTTATTTTCTTATCATATATTAAAACCATTAATTCATGTTTTCTAAACCCTCAATAATACCACATATATAAAGCTTTATAGGATTAAAATGCGTCTATGTGGGAATATTTCATTTTTTCCCAATGATAGAGCTTGATAATTATTGATTGTCATAACATAAGTGACAATTATAGAAAAAAGTCTCCCCATAAGTTTAAAATTCCGTGAGAGAGAAAATATGAGAGGGGAATTCTTCTGATCAATAATTAATCTGCTTTTTTGGACGTCCCACTTAAAGGTTCACATTTTCTATTCTATGAAACAATTAACACTCTTAAATAATCATTTACTCGTCAATGATTAAAAATAATATATTTACAATATCACAATTATCATCAATGGCCCAATATATTATATACTCATCAAAATTATTTTATCAAAATATACTCGAATTAACATATTTAATTATTGTCTAAATAATCGTGTCATTTTGTCATGAGAACCTTTAAACGAGATAGAGATAGTATCTAAAAGCACTATATATGAGAGAAAAATTATCCCGCTCAATTTTTAGCCTGATTATCTTATTTTATACTCCGTACTTTAAAACACTACATATAAGAGAGAGAAATATCTCGCTTAATTATTAGCACGCTTATCTTCGATCTTATAGCTAAAAACACTACATGAGAGAGAGAGAGAGAGAGAAAGAGAGAGAGAGAGAGAGAGAGAGAGAGAGAAATCACTTGCTCAATTTTTAATCCGTTTATCTTCTTATCTTCTTATCTTCTTATATTCTTATATTCTTATATAATTAAAAGCACTTCATATGAGAGAGAAAATTCTCTCGTTCAACTATTAGTCCACTTGTCTTATATCCAAAAAGACTACATATGAGAGAGAAAATCTTTCCGCTCAATTATTAGTCTATTTATCTTCTTATACCTAAAAATACTACAAATAAAAGAAAAAATTTGCCCGCGGCCGCCTAATTATTAATCCGCATATCTTCTATGTAAAAGCATTATTACATATGAGAGATAAAATTCTACATCTCAATTATTGATTTGCTTATCTTATCTTCTTATACCTAAAAGTGCTATATATGAGAGAGAAAATTCTCCCGCTCAATTGTTAGGATGCTTTCTTTTGGACTGAAATTTGCTGGCCTGATCTGGTCTGGTCTGTTTAAGTTTGGTCTGGTCTAGTCTGGTAAACGTCTGGTCTCTGTGTATTTTATAACTACGGAAGTCTGGTCTGGTCTGGTTTGTTTAAGTCTGGTCTGTCTGGGACTGAAAACAGTCCAAAAGAAAACATCCTTACTCCGCTTACCTTATACTTATAAGCACTACATATGAGAGAGAAAATTCTTTTTTTGGACGCTCCATATAAAGGTTGACATTTCTATTTTTGGAAACGATTAAAAATATCGAATGACAATTTAATCATTAAGTATTATAAATAATACCGAGTAATCTATTGCATCAAAATTATCAACACTAATCCCACTATATTATATACCTGTCAAAATTATTTATCAAAATATACTCGAATAATCTTTTGTAATTAATATCTAAACAACTTTGTTGTTTTGTCATGGAAACCTTTCAATAGGACAAAGATAGCTAGTACAGAGTAATATTTTGTCCATGATTTTATATCAATGAAAACCCCTTTTAAGTTAAGTTTCTTTTGTGTTTTGGCTTTAAAAAATTTATCACTTACTTTTATGACATATTTTATTTGAATTGCTATAAAAAAAGCTTTTCATGTGCATACTACAACTCGTATCAATATTCTATAACTTCTTAGGTTTAATCTTCTAATTCAAATCTAGTAATTTAAAAACTAATAATATTTCGTTACTGTAGCTAAACATTTTTGTTTTAGATATGTAATTTCATTATATATATATATATATATATATATATATATATATATATGATATGATATACAGAATTTGAAATTACATAAAAAATTCTAATGATCATTAATGTTAGGACTACACGCATTTTAAATTAGCATCATTTAGGCAAATTAGTTGGACAATTCCTAAATGTTAGGACTATACGTATGAGCCTTTGAAGTATACCTATAATTACTCCTACATGTTAGCTACAAAGTTGCATTAGATGTTAAGGCATTCCATAAGTGTTAGATATACTAATTTGAGGGCAAAATCTAAAAATCGTCAATTTTAATGATTGGACTCAATTGCAATTTAATTACAAATCAATTTCAATTGAGATGACTCTACTTTATTAGTACTAAAGTAGATTACACAATTTAGCGCGCGAAAGTAAAAGTTAGGTGTTTGGTGAAAATGTGATAAGCCAAAAAACAGTGGTTCCAAACGGCCTCCTAGATGTACTGTCATATTCAATGAGCATTCAACAAATGTAAAAATGAGTGTCACTTATTTTTAATGAGCATTGTATCAGAAAGGTAAAATTACATCCAGATGAATGGCATATTGTGCCTAGAGTGGTGTGTGATATGAGAACGGCAGGGAGAAGGGATGATAATTTTCTGGGACCATGTAATGATGTAAAATTTAAAAATTAAAATTAAAATGGGGAAGTGTTTATTATTGAAAGAATGAATTAGAATTAAATACAAAGTTACCTTTGAGGCTATCATCAATCCAGGCATGAGTTTATGAGATACTTTACTCCATAGGGTGTAACCCACAAAAGTCGAATGAATGAGACGACCATAGGAACTCATGACCAGTCCAGCTTGAGTAAAAACAGCAGAGATTCAATCATCTGTTTTCCATCTCTCAATCACAACTTTGAATTGCTTATCTCTCTTCCTTACCTATTAAATCCACATTTCAAGACAAAATAGTTACAGAAAGTCAACTGACGCAAAAAAACAGCTACTACACACAGCCCCTAAGCCGCCGCCACCCCCCCCCCCCCCCCCCCCTCCTCTCTCGTAAGGACAGATAACATGGCCAATCAAGGAAGTTGGTAGACGCTATTGAACCAATCTTGATACTTGGGTATTACAAATATCATATTAATTTCATAAGCACCTTAAGGCATAGGAGTATTTATGTATGAAGCCTATCTTTAATCAATGGGTTAAGAAAAATGAAAAACAAGTACCTCCTCCACTCACCCTAAGCACAAATTTAGCATGATCGAGCTGTGGAATTTATGTTAGTAAATGTTTAGCTACTGGGTCCAAACTCCAAAGCAGACAATGACATCAATCACACGAATACACGATTGAAACTTATATTAGCAAACTTTTAGGTTGGTTCCTACAATAAATACTAGCATCATTGAATGCAATACCTCAACAATTGGTTTTTTTCCACAAAGAAAAGCATCCACACTTTTCTCAGTCTGCACAATCAAGAAAACAAAAGTGGATGTATTATATGAGAATGGTTTCCATCAATGTGCTATATTGCATTGATATCAACTAACCCGATGCACGATCCAGTAGTGCCTCTCCCTTATTTCGACGAGGAAGGGAAATGTTGGTGGAGTTTTCCTCTCAAGAACACTTTTTCTGCAATTCCTTGCTTGAGCTTCCTGATCACTGATGGTCACAGATTCTAGTCCTCCAATCTGCAAAGTTTCAGAACAAAGATACATCAATATAGCCATAGAGAGTATCTGTCATAATCAGCTATATAATCTATGCTCAACTTGGCTCAAAAGACAATGACCAGTACGTTTGGGTAAAATAAAAACTACTCAAACGAAATACAGACGACAATAACTCGTGACAAATGCAAATGGAAATTATGAATCTTTCAAAGTTATATACAAACCAAATCAGACAAAGTTGAATTTTTAATGATATTCTCCAGTTGCTTTCCATGAGCTGTGCCTATAAGCATTACTCCTCTCTCAGCAATTGTACGACATGCGCGAACCTCAGCTTCTGTGCTAATCTCATCAATGACTATCACCTCAGGCATGTGATTCTCAATTGCTTCTAACATCACTTGGTGCTGCATGTAAGGATTTTTAACCTGCAGTCTTCTTGCACCCCCTATTGCTGGATGTGGAACATCTCCTTCACCTCCAATTTCATTGCTGCTGTCGACAATGACCTACCACAACACACAAACATATACACACCGCACCCAACACAATTTGAAGAAAATGGAAATGCAAAAAAGTAAATGATGAAGATCTCGAGTCAGGAACAAGGACTCAACAAACCACTCTTTTATGAAGATCATCTGACAAGACACGGGATAAATCTCTCATGACTGTAGTTTTTCCCACACCAGGCCTGCTAAGCTCAAAATAATTAGTTTAGAAGGGGAATGAGCACAAGAGCTCTCTTTTCTGGGCATTGATGCTCGATGGAAAGTTGCTAAAAATATAACACAAATCCAGAAAATATTCCACCTTTCGTCTCGCGACTATAAGGCTATTTTCCCTCTAGGTCACTGACTTTTAATTTATCCAATAGATGATTCTTTTAAAACTATGATCTTTCTAATCACTTACCTGACCAATTTCTACACAATTTTACCATATAAGTAGTGAGAATGACTGAGAGTGACAAGAAAACCACACTGCTGCACGCAGTGTGCCCTTTGCATGTTAAAAATGAGCAATCAATTGCACAGGGACTCTTAGATTATGAGGCCTCATAAAGTCATCATTTTACAGTGTAGACATATAATTGAGTGTTGAGGCCCATATAGAAAATAATTTTCAATGTCCAGGTTAGAGTTTCTAACTGCTCATCTTTCCCATGCAATCACCAGTTGTGTTTTTCATTTTAGCATTGCTCATAAAATTAGACTGTTTAAATATGGTGAATATATAAACATATATATATATGCAAGGGTAGGTTGGTCAAGCAGTTAACATGGTGAGTGCAAGGTCCCATGTTCGAATACGGTAAAGGACTCTTATTGGTCTTCTTGATTGAGCCAGTCAGTTATTGTTCACTTACGCTGGTTTACATCCTCATAGTTTCTTGCCAGTTAAGACCATGAAATGCTAAATTTTAGTCATGAGGGATTGGATTTTGCACCCCATTTTCAAATTCACTAATATTTGTACCCCCAAAGTTCAAAACTCTATTAAAAATTGGGAACAAAATCCAATTTGGAAGACAAATGGGAAGTAAACTGTATTTTTGGGTGCAAATATTAATGATTTTAATAACGGGGTGCAATATCAAAATTAGATGATAATTTGGGGTGCAAACTCTAATTCCCTTATCTTGTTATCTTTCTTGTCTGTCTTTACCTTTTGGCTCCGATATCATGCATTGATTCATGTTAGCCGACCCCAAAAACTTTTGGGACTAAGGCTTGGACATTGATGACTTGTTGTTGTTGTAGTTTTATTACTACGGTCAAAGTATACATCTGTAATAGTGGAGAACGAGAAAGGAAAAATAAAATAAAAAAACGATACTCATGGGCCTAAAGAGAATGTCATATAATAAAAGTGGAACTGAAATATTGAATATGGAATATTTCTCACACATTCAATGATCAGATACCAGTCCAGTTCTCCATGGTGTCAAGACTGGAGTGGCATAAGATGCCAAAGGGGTTTGTAAAGTATGACCATGTATATTACCCTAATAATTGTGGGACCTAAGGTGGAGTATTTTTCACAGTTTCAGTTTTCAATAATCGGTATCAGTCTGATTCTCTATAGTGTCAATAGTGAGAACAGAAGCCCGAAGGGTTCATTCAGTATGACCATGTATGTTGCTCACTCACCTTCCAACAAACAAGATGCTTTCACCAAACTCAAGCAAATCCCTGACCATGTCAATTTGACCGCTAACTGCTCTACCAACTCGGCAAGTCAACCCAATAATTTCCCCCTTCCTATTCTTAATAGAAGACACACGATGCAAGCTACCCTCAATTCCATCTCTGTTGTCGCCTCCAAATTGTCCGATTGCATTTTGAACATACTCAAGTTCTTTACATGATACCTGGAAACATACAGGTTCAGCTTTAAATGGAGATACTATACATTATCTTCAATGTCAACTCCTTCTGTTGATTTACTTGATTTCATACCGTTCCATACAAAAAATGGATAGTCATTACAATAAAATCAATTAGACAACAGTAAGTAGGAATAAACGCACGTAAGAGCTGGGAGTAATAAAATAAGACAACTGGACATGCGGTAATCGTAAGAGCTGTCAATATTTTCAGAACTTACTTCTGTATCTCTCAAATACTTCCTACCAAAATCATCCAAGTACTGTGCATGCGGTAATCGGCCCAAATCCAATATCACCTGTGTTCCATTGGAATGAAAAATGAGCTATCATGACCAGAAAGAAAGTAATCTTTATTGAAAAGCAAATTCATGTGGTCTGGTTTCAGAAGGCATGCTTTGCTTAAAGGCCCTAGATTTACAGGGGCCAAGTAGATAAATTATAGCTCGAACAACCCAAGTCCAAAGAGTCTAATCAAATTAGACAAAATATGTGTTATCTCGTCTAACATAGTTCACATATAGAGATACAAACTAAGGTCTTGTACTATTTAGTTAAAGAGAGCAGCTTGGTGTACACGTTTTTTGTACATGTTTTGTGTACACACCCCCTAGTTGTCTGTCCAACTAGGCAATTGTTTAAGAAGCTGCATTGGACAGATAACTGGGGGGTGTACACAAAGTGTACAAAAAATGTGTACAGACAGCTTTTATCTTAGTTAAAAAATTTAGCATCTAAGAGCATAGGATGGTGTGAGCCTGAAGTCAGTCAACCAGATCACCTCGAGTAAATGTTCTTGCCTAGAGTGAGACAACAGAGCTTCGCGCAAATCGCACGGAAGAATCTGAAAAGACAGAGTATAGAACTATGATAAGCGCAAAATTAAAACAAATCAGCCACAAAATTCAAAGTAAAGAGGGCCACAGCTTAAAGGCATGTTCAATTACCTGCAAATATGCGCCACAAACACTCGAAATAAAATTAAACGAACATAAAGATTGAATAAAAACCTGTAGAAATGCGCTTATATCATCATCATCATCATTATCGGACTCGGAGGTATAGCTATTTCGATTACCATACAGAATGAACCGGTAGAGCCATGTACTGTGACTCCGGCCCAAGATGTCACTGCCACTGCTACGTCCGAAACTGCAGCTGTCGTGGACTAGGCGATTGACTCCGAGTACATCGCGAAGGTTGAATGAGCACGGCCAGTTGCGTCTGATTATGTAAGAAGCTTTACAAGAGCCGGATGTCGCGCCGGCATTTTTCATGGGTAGGGAAGACAACAAGCTAGGACTGGTCGCCATTGTAGGCAGACTTTTGGGTGCTGTCATGCTGTGTATTTGGGCAAGGATGTTGAAGGCTTTGAGATAAATTTTCTAGCATGGTGTTGATTTGATCTGGTGTATTTTAGGATGTTTTGGTGAGTACATTGAAAGTTGAGAAGTGATTTTGATACTCAAATTTACTCCTAAAATCAATTTTTTTAGAAGTTAAGGTTGACCAGCTTCTGAAAATTGATTCTGATTCTGCTTCTACTTTAAAAAAAGAAGCAGAAGCAGAATCAGTTTTAAACACCCCATAATATGATGGACTTCAAATTCTTCGGACTAAAAAGATGTTCTCTTCACTTGATCTGAATTTATTAAGTTCTAATTTGATCTGATCTGAATTTTCTGATCTGATCTGAATCTTTCTGATTTGGTCTGATCTGATTTGAATCTTTCTGATCTGATTTGAATCCTTCTGATCTGATCTGAATCTTTCTGATCTGATCTGATTGGAATATTTTCAATAATTATAATTATTATAATTGTAATTGTAATAATAAATATAATTTAAATATAATTATAATTAGTTATAATTTTAAAAAAATTATAATTATAATCATATTCATAATTATAATTATTATTAAATTTGTAATAATTATACCTACTACACTAATTATAATTATAGTTATAGGCAAAGTGTCCATTTTTAAGTATTGGGAAAAATTCATGGCAAAGTGTCCATTTTTAAGTATGAAAAAGAACCAAAAGCAGACAAGAAATGATTATTCAAACGTGAATACAAAATCACCGCACTACAAAAAAATACTCCATAATCATAATACTTCTTCGAAAAAATTACAACAATGCTATCTATTAGTAATTGGAAAAGTATAAGACCACAATTGAAATAAAACAAAAAAAGTGATCAAATAATAATGAATAGACTGAAATGCAATTTATGAAGCTGAACGAGTGGTCACTAGCCAACCGGCAGTGGCCACTGTCACTGTCGTCTAGTCACAGGGCCGGCGAGCCAGCAGAAATCACTATGGGCGGCGGTCACTACAGGTAAGGTGATCACTATAAGATATAATGTAAGGATTAGGCGTAATTTAGTGAGTGTAATGCTATTTTAGTAAGTTTTATGAGACCGATTAATAATTGTACTATCACATTATGCCATTAATGTCTGTAAAACTTATTGTTATACCTTACCTTTATTTTAGTTTTACTTGCAATTTTCAAATGATCCAATTTTTTATTTTCATACATCTACTACTACGTGTATATATAATAAAAGTTACAACATATAAACTCAGGCTTAAATACATTTTTACTTCCTGCAAATATGACATATTTTGTTTTGGATTCATGCAAAACAGTTTAACATTAAATAAGTTTTTAGTCCCATTTGTCTTCTTAGATCATGATGGAGTATATGGCCCAGGATCCCCCGGCACATAGACTCTTACTTCTCCTACAAGGGCCCATTAAGCCCAGGGAACATCTCAGGCCCAAAAACAACGCCCCAAACCTCAGAGGAGCCCAGGATTCACGTTGGGGTGCCTTTGGCCTCCTTGGCCGAAGGCTCCAAATTACACAGGGCAGCCAGTTTTGAACATAAGAAGTCACTGGGAGAAAACGGCGCAAGTGGTAGCCCTCGGCTATCAGGAGCCTTCGGCACATAAGGTGCCCTCGGCATCAGGGAGATCTTCGACATTCACATGCCTTCGGCTACATAGAGCCCCCGGCCGAAGGGGAAGCCTTCGGCCAACTTCTCAATCATCGAAGATTCCTTTTGGAGACAGCCAACCACCGCATTTAATGCGACGTCACATCCACCCACTACATTCAATGCGGTGAACGTACCACGGCCAGTGCCACCCGATTGACGTGACCCCTCGGCCGCTAGATTATTGACATGTGTGCTCTCATCGCATTTATTGCTGTTATAAATAGCAGCCCATTTCTCCTTGTAAACGACACCACATCCCAACTCCCACACGCTGAGTCCATTTAATAAAATCGACTCTCTCTCCTCCTATTTTGCTCTGACTTCTCTCTAGTTATTCCCGCAATAACCCCTCGGATAAGATACCCCCCGGGTAGACTATCCATCATTTGGTGCTCTCGTTGAGAGGTCTAAACAATCAAGTAAGAACCCCCCCCCCCCCTCTACCAAACTCAAAACACCCACCAAGAATGAGAAAAACTCGTGCCCAATCCAAAACCCTTGAAGAGAACCACGTAGCCCCCAGCGAAACCAACGGGGATGAGGCCTCCAACAGGCTCTTAGTACCCGAGGGTGGTATCATCCTCGAATTGGAGCAGGCTACTGCTGACCTCCGTCAGCAGCTACAGAAGAACGCCCCTGATGTCCGCATTGGCCTTGATAAACGAAGGAGGGATCGGAGTGAGAACCAAGTTCCCCCTCCGGCCCCGACCATCAATCTTCAGGCTGCCTTTGCGGCCTTTGTTCAAAACATGGATCTCAATTCCGGAGCCTTCGTCCCTCAAGCACCCCTTCAGCCCTACGCTGGAGGGAATGTTATCCAACTACTGCCACTCCCTCCTTTGTTCAACAATCCTCCCCTGGGGATTGGCAACGCCGAGGGGGTCGTGGCGCAGGATACCGCCTCCCAAGAGGCCCAATCCAGGGATAAGCGCCCCTTGATGAAGGAGAAACCCCGAACCTCTGCACTTGGGAGGCTAGGGGGAGCTCCCGGGAACCGAGGGGTCCAAGACCGCCTCGGGAAACAGGCGCTCAGCAGGCCCCAGGAAAGTGGAGCCTCCGCTTTAGGTGCCGAGGGCATGCCTCCACCCCGGAGCAAAGGCAAAGCCCTCCTCCATGCCGATGACGCCAGGCACCAAATCAATCAGGCTCAATCCTTCCGGGCCAACTCCCAAGGGGTTGTCCCGAAGGACCCCAAAGATGAAATCATCGAAGCCCTCCTTCGACAACTCGAGGAGACGCGTCAGGCACCACCGACGGCTTCCACGCTGGGACCTGATCCAGAATATGCCGCCCTCTGGGCGCAAGTGGAGGAAATGAAACGCAAGTTCGCTGAGGGCTCAGATGAGCCCCTCATTCAACTCCGCACTAGGACGCCTTTCACTCTAAGGGTACTGGCGGCCAAGATCCCCAACAAATACCGGGGGCAACCAATCAAACCATACGAGGGGAAGACGGATCCCCAAGAACACTACAGCAGGTATCAAAATAGTATGATGATGATGAGGGCATCAGATGAATACTTGTGTCGTTGGTTCCTTTCCACCTTGGAGGGGCCAGCGTATGAGTGGTTCAACCGATTGCCCGAAGGCAGCATCGATTCTTGGCAAGAACTTGCCCACCGCTTCCTCACACAGTTCGCCGGGAGGCATCGTTCAAAGAAACACTTCTCCCACCTCCTGAACGTGAGACAACAGAAGGAGGAAACCCTTCGGAGTTTCCTAGAGCGCTGGAGGCAGGCCTCCCTTGAGGTCGAAGGCGCCGATGACAGAACACTGATGGCCCTCTTCCATACCGTCCTCCGCAACGGTAACTTCTCCAGGAGTCTTATCACTGATCCCCCCCCGCGATTCTACAAAGGCCCTCCAGCAAGGGGACCGTTATGCCGAAGCAGAGGAGATCGAGAAGGACCGCCGTAACACGGATCCTTCCCAAAAGAATGAAGGCAGAAATCGGCCCGAGGGGCCTCCCCCTCCGGCCAATCGCGAAGCACAATACAGCGATCGCCCCCGAGGTGGCCAAGCCAGACCCGGGGGCGGTTACAAGAACAATCCGAAGGCATGGGCGCAACCCGTCCTCCTTGAGCACCCACACACTCCCCTGACGCATCCCGTCAGCGTCATTTTAGATCACGCAGAAGAGCGAGGGCTCGTGGAGCGAGACTCCCGTACACCCCTCGAGATTTATGCCATCGGCCCTGATGAGCCCTATTGCCACTTTCACCGCCACCATGGACACAAAACCGACGACTGCCATCAGCTGAAAACCGCCATTGAAAGGCTGATACAGGCGGGCCACCTGTCCCAATTCGTCAGGGGGGCCCCTCCTATGGGCCCACCTCATCATCAAGGGCCACCTCCAAAGGCCAACAAATGGGTCAATCCGAATACTATCCCCTTGGGAAACCCACAGGGGAAGAAGCGAGAAATTGGGGGTCTGGATGACGAGGGAGAAGGCTCCCATCAGCAGTACAAACGCCACATCCACATGATCAATGGTGGCAACACTGGTGGAGACACCACCAGCCAACGAAAGAAATGGGCTCAATCCCTCTATGTTGGGGAAGTCAACCACATGCCCCTAGCTAAGAGGCCAAAGGGAGAGCCCATCTTTTTCACAGATGCGGACCTCCCCTCGGGCTCTCTGCCTCATAGGGATGTCCTCGTCATCCGCACGGAGATCAATGACGCCATCATCCTCCGGACTTACGTTGACACGAGGAGTTTTGTCAACGTCATGTACCTCAGCACTTTCCAGGAATTGAGGCTCGATAGAGGAACCCTTCGGCGCATCAACACCCCCCTCTCCGGATTCACTGGGGACAGCATCGACGCCGAGGGCGTCATCACCCTTATGGTTGAATTCGGCGACGGATCCCATAGAGCCAAGCTCGAAGTGGAATTCGTCGTCGTCAACCTCGACTGCGCGCACAACATCATCCTCGGTCGGCCTGCCCTCGAGGATTTGGAGGTTGTCATCTCCACGAGGCACCTCTGCCTCAAATTCCCCACACCCACCGGCATCGGCTACTCAAGGGGGAATCAGAAGCTCTCCAGGGCATGCTACCTTCAACTCACCAAGAAGGTTAGTAAAACTGAGCTCCGAATTGATACGATTACCACCAAGGCCCTGGGAGAGGAAGAAGGTAGGCCGAGGGCTGAGCCTGCCGAGGAGACTGAAGACTTGATACTCAATCCGGCCAAGCCGGAGAGAGTCCTGAAGATTGGAGCCAAGCTCCCCGAAGACCTGAAGGCTGGCATCACCAAAGCCCTCCGCGCCTACTCCATTGTTTTCGCACGGGGGCCGGAGGATATGCCAGGAATTGACCGAAGGGTCATCACCCACCGCCTGGCGGTGGACCCTTCGGCCAAACCAGTGCAACAGCGGAGAAGACCCCTCTCGGCCGAGAGAAGGGAGTTC